CCTGGAGCTGGAGCAGCAGGCTGCACTGGCCATGGGGACTGAGGCTGCCCTGCTGGCCTCTGGGCTAGGGACCCCCACCGGCTGTCAACAGCCCCAGTGTAAGAGGCTGGGAAGGAGGGGGATGTGGCCCCCAGCACTGGACTGCATTTCCTCCTGGCTCCCTGCGTGGTCCTGCCGTGCTGGGCCCTGGGCAGCTAGGCCTGCAGGAAGCCTGGGGCGGGCGGGGCGGGCAGGATGGGGCAGTGTCCTTTTCTGCTGGGACAAAACGCCTGGAGTTTCCGGGCAGGCAGGAATGACAGCAGTGATGGTGTCAGGGAAGAGAGAAGTGACCAAAGTGGGGAGGGGCCTGAGAGCGAGAGCCTGCCCAGCACAGAGGGCCTGTGTGCTGGACCTCAGCTGGCCAGGGTCCTGACGGACGGGTTTGAGAGGAAGCATGTGGGGGGATTGGCCCTGGGTGGTGGGTGGTGAGGACAGTCATGTGGGGTCCCTCCTGGGCCTCCTCCCGTCCCCGCAGGGAGGCCGGGATCCCTGCAGCTGCTTCACTGCGCCTGGCCCTGGCCGGGTGGGCTGGCAGGCGCCCCCTGCAGGCAGGAGCACAGCCGGGGAGGCCTGGGGGCGGCCTGGGGGTGGCCTGGGGCGCGGTGGCAGGCCTGGCGAGCCCCTGAGCTGGCTGTGCTTCCCACCTGGCCTGGTTTCCCTGGGTTTATTTGTACCATTATCTCCTGACTCTCAGAAAGTGACGTTGTTTTCCATTGTCCCTGAAGAGAGAATGTTTCCTGTGGGAAAAAAATGGATGTGAGTGGAAAGGGGGCAGTCTGCAGCCAACTGTGAAGGGACGTGCCGAGCCAGCCCTGGGGCGAATCCGGTGGCTCCTGCTGGCCGGTGACCCTGTGCTGTGCCTCGGTTTCTCCGACTGTCAAGCGGTGTGACGAGAATACCGAGGTGCAGGGCTGTTAGGAAAAGTCAGAACCAGCCGGTCCTCGGCCGAGAGTCCCCGGAGGGCCCCGGCACACAGAGGCCTTCACACCTGCCCCTCCTCAGGCTGGAAAAGGAAATCGATGTGCTGGAGAACGGGGAGCCGGCCCCTGCCCCCTTGAGAGAGGACAAGGCAGCGTCCAGTCCAGCCCGGACCCTGGCCCCCAGCCCAGCCAAGGAGCAGCCCCGGGGGGGCTTGGTGTGCAGCCCAGAACAGGTGAGATGATGAGTGGGCAGAGCCCTGCTCTGACCCCTTCCTCTGCAGGTGCTCAGTGGTCCCAGCACAGACCCCAGCAGGTGCTGGGGTTGGGGGCCCAGCTGTGCAGCCTGGGACATGTTGTTGGCCTCTCTGAGCCTCAGTTTCCCCATCTGTAAGATGCAAGAGCTATTAGAATACCAGCTGGGGACCTGGCAAGGGCTCAGGGAGTGGTGGCCAAGCCTAGAGGCAGCCAGACCCACGGGAGGGAGGTTTGGATGGATCCCCTCTCCTTGCACCTTCTGAGCCCCCGGCCCTGGGCTGGGCACTCCCTGTGTTGGACAGCCCTTCCAGGCGGGAGCAGTGCCCCATGGGATGCGAGACGGATCCCAGGCCACCATCTGGCTTGGCCTTGGCTTCTGGGAGCTGCCCTGGAGCAGACATGTTAAGACAGACCTCCAAGTCAGGGCCAGCTCCTCTCCCAGGGGCCTCCGAGGCCTGGGGCCTGCCTCCTTCCCTGCACCCCTGTCTTGTGGGGTCACTATGGCCCTGACCCAGGGAGCTGCAGCTGTGTCCTCTGGGGCTGTTGGTCTGCAGCCCTCCCTTCTGACCATGCCTGGTTCGGGAGACCAGGAAGAGGGACGGGGGACCCCAGGAAGCCCGTGATCCACCAGAGGCTGGGCAGGCTTCCTGGAGGGTGTGGGATTTGAAGGTGGAGTAGGAGTTCTGCAGGCAGACTGCAAAGGTGCTGCCTGCGGGCTTCCTGGGGACAGGCAGACCCTGACCAGGACAGCAACTTGAGGGGCAGTGCGCATGCCCAAGCTCCTGCTCCTCCTCCTGGAGACCGGGAGCCGGCCCCTGCCCACTGGAGAGAGGGGGACTTGGTTGGAGGGCCAGAGACCAGGAGCCCCTGGGGGAAAGATGAGCCGCCTTTCAGGTGAGGCGTGAAGGAGCAGCCAGAAGACGGCCGCTGGGCAGGGAAGACCACCACAGAAGTGGTCGCGGGAGTGGAGCCCTGGAGTGGTGGGGGACCAGAAGGCGGGGGCGGGGTGACCCCCCATTTCCCACATTTCCGGCCCCAACGCCAGGGGAGGTGACGGCCGGGAGAGAAGGGACGGGAAACGGGGCGCTGGCTGACCCTCTGCCTCTTTCTTGCAGACCCCGCCGGGCACGCCCAAAGGTAGGCGGGGCCGCGCGCCCCCTGGCGGCGGGCGGGAGGGGGCGCCTGCTCTGCCTGCCCCGTCTCTGCGCTGGGCTTCACAGCGCCCGCGGGAGGGGCCGGCCACGGTCGGCCTGTCCCTGGGTCTGTAACGTGGGGCCAGAAATCCTGCCCTAGAGACCAAGGCCGTGGGACTGAGACCCGGCCGTGGCAGGTGGGTCCCTGCTTGCTGAGGCCGTCCAGCCCAGCGTTCCTCCCACGTGGTGGCCGCCGGAGGACGGTGTGGGCCACTCACCTGTCCTGACGTGGGACAGAGTCTAGACGTAAGCATGATGCTGCATGAGGTTCAATAAGTCCACGCTCGGTGAGCTGTGAAGCACCAGTCCATTTTTAAAGCCTGTTTTAGGGGGGCCTGTCTCCCTGCAAAGCCCCAGGGCAGCCCCCTGTGGATGGGGCAGCCCACGTCTCTTCGGCCTGATCTGCGGTGTGTTGATTAATTATTCATGAGAAGAGGGTCTCCAGGACCCACTGTAGAATTAATAATTAAAGTAGATCCAGGCAGCCTCTGGGCCGTTGTGAAGTCGGAGCTGAGACATGGGAACCCAACTTGGCACTTCCTTTTGGGGGGCTGTGTGCATCAGGGTCCAGGTGCATGGAAGGGGCCAGGAGCTGGGTGCATGCACCGCGGTGAGTGGAGCCTGTGGAGGGCCGTGTGACCTTCTCTCTCCGCCCTCTCTCCACCCTGCCTGCCCAGCAGAGAAACAGGTGTCCAACACCCCTGTGCGGACCGTCGGAGGCTCCCCCATGGTGAAGGCAGGTGGGTGGTACCCAGGCTCCGGCCTTGTGTCCTGCCGCCGACCAGACCGCAGCTCAGTCCTCGGGGCCTGGTGGGGTGGGGGTGACCCAGACCTGCCCTGGCCGGGTGGGAAGTGGGCAGTGGTCACGCAGGTGGGGTCTGGACTGAGGCTGAGGCTCTGGGCTGGGGGTGGGCCTCGGCATCCTCTGCTTTGGCCCTGGGCCACACCCCGGCCAGGCTTCCCCAGGAAGGCAGGCCCAGCGCATGGCGACTTTAACCCAGTGCCCTGGCTTCTGTACCTCCTAACCTCAAGGTGGCCCCCGGGGGGGGGGCACAGGCCTGCACCCGCTCCACCGCCAAGGACGCTGGCTGCAAGTCCCACTGGCCCCTGGGCCTCGGGCCGCGGGACCCTGTGGGGGGGCACCTCATCCTGGAGGCAGGCTCAGTCCTGTGTGGTTAGACAGGGGTAGCCATGCTCCATCTGCCAGCCAGAGGGCCTGGTCCCACCCAGGACTAGACAGTGACAAGTCCTGAGACAGAATGAAGACCTATGGGGGGACTGGGGTGTGACAGTGCCCTGAGAGAGAGGACGTCTCAGGGGGCTGAAGCTCTCCCATGTGGCAGGAGGCCAAGGGGAGCATTTCAGAGTGCAGGGTGCGTTGAGGGCCTGCTGTGCCAGTGAGACCAGCCCTGTGGCCCCCAGGTGAGGTACCCCCCACTTTTTCCTTGGGCCCTTGGCTTTGTGCAGTGCATAACCTGCCCAACAGTGTGGGTGGCCTTGGAAGTCGCTGTCCAGGGACAGGGATGTTCGGCCACTCAAGGACAAGAGATTAAGTAACAGTCACTCGTTCAGCATTATTCAGTACCTGCTGTATGCCAGGCAGCAGGGACCCAGACTGGGGGCAGCTCACTCTACAATTTAGGAACACAGAGCACAGAACGTAGACTCACCGGGCACTGGGAAGGCTGAGCGCCAGGGCAGGGTGGCTGCAAGCCCAGGGTGGGTGGTGGGACGACTGTGGAGGAGGCAGGAGCCCCACTGGGCCAGGAGCCTGCAGTGGGCTGAGAGGGGGAGGCCCAGAAGGCAGAGCCGCCCTGGCTGGGTGGAAGCCCAGGGGCAGATGCAGGCTCGGGGCCAGGGAGCCGAGGGCAAGGTCCTCCTGGAGAGCAGAGCTGGGCCCGGATGAGGCCCCTGGAGCAGAGTGGAACCCAGGACTGGGCTGGGCCCGAGCACCAGAGGCCAGGTGGGAGGAGGAGACCCAGATGACCATGAGGCTGAGGGCTTGGGGGCACCCCAGGTGAGCCAGGCTGACGGACAGCAGGCTCGAGAGGTCCTGGACCTTGGCTCCGGTGTCCCTGCAGGTGAGGTCTGCAGGCGCTGCTCCTTGGCTCCAGCACTGGGCACCTTTTCTTCCTGCCTGGGCAGGTTGGGGGCTGGGCCTGAGGTCTGTCCAGGGGCAGCAGCTTCGAGGACCCTCCTCTCCACGGCTTCACAGGGCAGCAGTGAGGTGGCTGCAGGGCCACAGCCTCGAGTTGACGTCCTGCAGCGTCACACTGCAGTCCGCCCAGTTGGTCGGGGAAGCGAGACGTTCAGAGGGTCTGGGTGGACAGAGGTCAGGCTGTGCTCGGGGCTGCGCTCCACGGGAGCCGGTGGAGTCTGGATGTGGAGATGAGCTTGTGGCCCAGCAGGACCCGAGGTGCAGAGGGGGAGGACGAGGCCCGGGGGGCTGAAGGCAGGATGGGCCTCGAAGGCCCAGCAGAGGAACTCGGGCCCCAGCCCTGGGCACTGGGAGGCACGGGAGGCTGTGGAGCGGGGGAGGCCAGGTCCGCCCGGCGCACGGCACACGACACCCAGCACCCGTCTCTGCTTGCTCTGCGCTGTCCCCCCCTGGCTTGGCGGCTGCCCCCAGGGCACGAGGGAGGGCGGGATCGGCATAACCGTGCCTCTCCTGGCAGCCATGTACTCAGTTGAGATCACTGTGGAGAAGGACAAGGTGACAGGGGAGACCCGGGTGCTGTCCAGCACCACGCTGCTCCCCCGGGAGCCGCTTCCTCAGGGCATCAAGGTCTACGAGGACGAGACGAAAGGTACGCCCCCGCCTGCCGGCCTCCAGCCAGAGCCGGTGCAGGCCCCGGCAGGGCTCAGCACCGCGAGGCCCACCGAGCAGGGCCCAGGGCCCCCCCCCCGCCACGGGCTTGAGGTCCTTGGCCCTGGCTGTGGCCCACACGGTCATTCCCGGACCTTGTTGCAGACCTGCGGCTGGAGAGGGAGCCCTCAAGAGACTCCCCTTCCAAGCTCTGGGGTGCGGCCCAGCCCCTGTGGAGCCCATTCGCTGTTCACTTATTCATTTTACTTCATTTTTAAATATTTTTGGTACGAGGGATGGAATCCAGGGGTGCTCTGCCGTGGAACCACATCCCAGCCCCACCTTTTTAATTTTGAGACAGGGTTTCCCTAAGTTGTTGAGGCTGGTCTCAAACTTGCAATCCTCCTGCCTCAGCCTCCAGAGCCTCTGGGATTATCATAGGTGTGCGCTCTGTGCCCTGCTGCACTTCTTCATTTTAACTGACTGATTAGTGTGTTATTTTGCAGTTCTGGGGATGGAACCCAGGGCTGCTCTCCCGCAGATCGAGACCCCAGCCCTTTCCATTTCCATCTGAGGCAGGGCCTTAGTAGGTTGACCAGGCTGGCTTGGAATCTGTGCCCTCTTCCCTCGGCCTCCTGAGCAGCTGGGAGGACAGGCCTGGGCCACCTGCCTGGTCACCCTTTAAGTGACAAAACTCCTGGAAGACCCAGGGATGTACCGGGGCCTCGGGAGTCTCCACCTGGGGCTGGTGGGGGCTTCTCCGGAGTGGGCAGGAAGGAGTGCCCAGCAGGGCCTCAGGGTGGGCAGAGGCCTGGGGGGGCCGAAGGACTGGGCCAGAGGGACTGCAGGAGCCCCAGGTGTGGCGGGGGTGGGCTGGAATCTGATTTGGTTTCCAGGTGCCTTTTGGGGGTGGTGTCCAGTGGTCAGTGCTGGCCCAGCGGGCAGGAGGGCCTCGTTCCATCCCCAGCACCACAAAGAACAGTCAGGCATTAACCAGGGGTGCTCCAGGGGCCAGGAGGGACCAGGTGCCGGGGATGCCACCAGGAGGAGGGGCCTGGAAAGCCTCTGGATCCCTCTGGATCCAGGCACAGGTCACGGAATGTCATCTCGGAAGAGAGACGTGGAAGGTCCATAGTTCATGGGGAGCACTCCTGCCCGCACAGGGACGCCCAGCCCCTCCAGCAGCCCCCGTCCCTCCGGCCCTGCACCCCAGGTCCAGTCTGTCTCTGGACCCTCCTGTCACTGGTCACAGGGTATGGCCGGTGTGTCTGGCTGTCACTGAGCCCAGGTCCTCAAGTCCCTCCACACTGCAGCTGGGTCACAGGCTGGCTCCTGCCCTGGCCGAGGGAGTGCACTGCAGGTGGCCAGGCCATGTGTCCCTGGGTCCCCTGCAGACCTGGCTGCCTGCCCCTCTGGGCAGGAGTCTCCGTGGAGTGTGGCAGGGTGTCCGTTTCCCGTCTGGGCTCAGGAGGGCTGGCTGTGGGGACTTCTGGCCTCCGGGCCCCAGTGCCGTGGGGCTCCCCGCTGGTGGGGTGGAGGCTCCGTGTTCCTCAGCCTCGTCAGCGCTGCTGTCCTCACCAGAGCCACCCGGGCTGCCCGAGTGGTGTCAGGGCCTCCGCAAGGCTCTGGTGCCAAGGCCTGGGGTGCTTGGAGGCAGCGGTGGCTCGGGGCGTCTCTGGTGCCAGCCCAGCCTGATGAGGGCAGGCCTGGTTCAGCCCCAGCTGTGGTCCTGTGGCCTGGCGCAGGCGCTCCTGGGTGAGAAGGGGCACGTGGCACCCCCACCTGCCCACCCCACCCAGCTCCACGCGGCCTGCCCCCACCTCTGCCCAGCCCCCGGGGTCCCCAGACCTGCCACCCTGGACTCTGCCTGCTGGGGATGGAAGTGGATCCGTTTCCGTGGCAGCCCGGGGCTCACATCCTGCCTCAGGGCAGTGTGCACCCCACCCTCTGTCCCGGGAGCAGGGACCCCTCCCAGACCCTCAGTCACTCATCGAGAGCTTTCCCGGCATCCGGGTGCAGGACCCCCGCCCGGGGTCAGGACCAGGTGCCACCCTGGGCAGCTGGTTCCTAGGAGGGGGTGCAGGTCTCTGGTCTGCGGCTGGTGTCGCCCATGGCCACAGGCCCTGCTAGGGCTGAAGCCTGGTCCTCAGGGAGCACGGCACAGTTGTCCCGAGACAGGATGGCCGTCCAGGCGCCTCTGGGAGGGAAGACCGAATGGCCTAGGCTCACAGAGACCCCAGAGTCGGGAATCCCTGTTGCGCTCACCTCCTGCCCCCAGGGTGTGGACCCTGCACACCAGGACCAGACGGCCAGGAGCAACCTGGCCCTGGCTGCCAGAGTGACCGGGGCTAGACACTTCCCTTTTATAAACTCTCCTTTTTGCCACCTTTACAATGGGAAGGAAAACCCAGGCCTACTGTGTTCGCTTCTGCTGCTGTGACAACTGACCTGAGAAAACAGCTGAGGGGAGGAAATATTTATTTTGGCTCCCGGTTCAGGGGTTTCAGCCCCTGGTCAGCAGCTCCATGGCTCTGGGCCTGAGGTGAGGCAGAGGGGGAGAGAGGGAAGGGGACGGACAGACCAAGGACTCCCTCCCCAACTTCCACCACCTCCCATGATCCCTCCAGCTGTGGGCCCTTCCAGGGTCACCCAGTGACGGGTAGAGCCCGCAGGTCCACCCTCTTCCTGGAGACCCCCCTCGGCACACTGCTCACTGGGGACCAAGCCCTCAGCACAGGAGCCTTTGGGGGACGTTCCAGGTCCAAACTGTGTCACCTGCCTTGCCAGGTGTCTGCCCGGGAGCTGGCTGGCTGTGAATGTGGAAATGCCAGATGGTGACCTCCCGTCCCTGGCTCCCAGGCTGCCTCAGAGGCACCCGCTGGCTGCGTCCACCGCCTCAGGGCTCTAGCTGTCCGTCCGTCAGGGAATCTGCTTCCTGTGGGCAGCCCGCTCACCCCTCTGTCTCTCCCTGTGCAGTTGTCCACGCCCTGGACGGCACCGCCGAGGACGGCGTCCACCCCCTGAGCTCCTCCGAGGTGGACGAGCTCCTCCACAAAGCAGACGAGGCCGCTCTGAGCGAGGCGGGGTCCACCGCTGGGGCAGCCGAGGCCGGGGGGCCCGCGGAGGCGATCCGGTCCACGCCTGCCCGGCGCGAGATCCCCGGCGTGCAGGCTCAGCCTGGCGAGGCCACCTCGGGTCCGCCGGGCACCCAGCCCGGCCAGGAGCCCCCGGTCACCATGATCTTCATGGGCTACCAGAACGTGGAGGATGAGGCCGAGACCAAGAAGGTGCTGGGTCTGCAGGACGCCATCACGGCCGAGCTGGTGGTCATCCAGGAGCCCGCCGAGACCCAGGAGCCCGCCCCGCCCAATGGCAGTGCCGCCGAGCCCCCTGGCACCGCCGCAGGCGCCAGGGAGGAGAACCAGGTGGGGCCCGAGGCCACCGCCAGCGACCCCCAGGACCTGGACGTGAAGAAGCAGCGCTGCAAATGCTGCTCTGTCATGTGAGCCGCCCGGCCCCCACCTTGGCCCCCCCTCCACACCAGACTCCCGCCAGCCCGGCCCCTCCCGGCGCCCGCCCACCCTGCACCCAGACCTCACGGGCCCAGGACCTGCGCGTGGCTTCACGTCCCCGGAGTTTTCTTTCACTGGAGGAGGGACGAGCCCTCGCCCGCCGGCAGCCCCCGCCCTCGGCCTGGACCCCGAGCCGGGCACCGGTGCAGAGAAACAGGCTGGCCTGCTCTCCCAGCGGGGACCCCCGACCGCGGCAGCTTCACGACGGGGCTCGCGCCCACACGGTCCTGGTCGGTGTGGCCTCAGGCCCGCCGCCTGTGCCTTCCTGCCACCTCCCACGAGTTTCTGAGGGGACCAGGAGCCGAGGGTCCCGAGGCCTGGCCGTGGGACTCTCAGGGGCCCTGCCAAAGGCGCTGGCCCCCATCCCTGGGCCTTGGGGTGAGGCCACGCTTCTTACGGGGCTGGAGGTCTTAGAATGCAGCACGGGCTCCTCTGGACATCTCAGCCTGACAGGTGCCCCCACAGGCCCAGCCAGTGGACGGTGGCACGTAGGGCGGGGACTGGGGGGATGGGCCCCCTGGGGAGGGGTCTGTGACCCCTGGGCTGTGTCCTAGACCGGGAGGGCTGGGGTCTAGGAGCTGCCCCCGGCACCAGGGCCACAGGAGCTGCTCTTGTCCTGAGTTTCTGCCCCCCACTGGGACCTCCTTCCTCCTGGTGCTAATTTGGGGACCCCAGTGGCCGCTCCTGGCCTCCTGTCCAGCCTGCTTGGACCAGGGTCTTGGGTTCCCCTCACCCGACCCAACAAGTCCGCCCCACCTGCCAGCTCTGCTGGGCTGCGAGCATTTCTGGGCCGGGGTCTCCCTGGCTGGAGCCGGAGACCCCGTGGGCCCCCCAGCCCAGGGTGGGCCTGCGCACGGCCCTCACTGGATGTGGCAGGGGCTCCCTGCGGGGACGGCCCTGCGAGGCCCCGGAGGCACCCTCGTGCCCACTCTCCTGGAGCGCTGGCTTTGGCGGCCTCCAGCCCAGGGCCCGCCCTCGGGCCTTCTCTTGGCCAGCGGTCAGCTGCCACAGGGTGACTGCAGGGACCATGCTGGACGGCAGCTGGGGTCCTGGCTTCATGGAGCCCCTCCGGCAGCTGGGAGGAGGGGTGGTCTCTGGGGGTGGCCTGGGCAGTGGCCGTGGGACCCTCTCTTCCTCCCTGGAATCTGCCCGAGCCCCTCGAGCCGCGAGCCTCCGCTCAAGTGCCCTTGCTGCCCTCCGCTTCTGATGTGTGATGAGGCCCCGATGTTCTCGACTTTCCCAGAGAAGCAAATAAACAGTGCGAACAGCCCAGTTCCTGGAGTTCTTGGGTTTCGCCGGGCGGGCGCGAGGGTGCGGCCGGCCCAGGGTGGGGCCCTGCCCGGCGGGAGCCATAAAAGGAGCTGCGCGGGGCCAGGGTGAGCTGCTGCCCTCACTGTCCGGCTCATCCCGGGCTTCCCTGGCCATCTTGGTGGGAGGTGGTGATCCCAGCCTCTGCACACCTGTCGGCGGCACCTGGGCAGGTAAGACCCGGAGGTCAGGGGCGGCTCCTGGGTGGCCAGACTTGTTCCTGTTTCTAGGGGGGCCCACATCCACCCTGCCCTGGCCCCTGGCTGGACTCGTGGCCCTCAGAGATGGGGTCCCCACAGGCACCCTGGTCCCTGGGGACACAGCAGCAGCAGGGGGCGCTACAGGGGTCTTCATGCCAGACAGGTTCCCATGCTGACCCCAGTTCCATCTCACCATGAGTTTGGAGAAGTTTCTGGGCCTTTGTTTCCCCACCGTCCCAGGGAGAGGCCGGGCCTGATCTGCCAGCAGGAGGTGGGGAGTCTGCTGTCCAGTGTGCCCAGCACCCTGGGTGTCCACTCTTTACCCCCTGAGGCCTCAGTTTCCGGTGCGTGGGCCATGGAGAGGACTACCTGAGATGGGGTGCCGGGTTCAGATCCGCTCGCCCTTGGACAGGAGGGACACTCTGGGCCTCTGGGGCCTAATCTGCCCAACAGGGAGGAGAGGGGCTGTGGGAGATGGGGGCCAGGCGAGGCTTGCGCCCTGGTTGGACCTCCGGGCAGCCACCTGGGCTGTGCTGGGCCCTCTAGCACATTTAAGTCCCCCAAGATGTAGAGCCAGGGGTACTGGAAGGAGGAATGATGAGATGAGAGATGAGATTCAGGGGGGCCATGGCCAGCCTCAGGGATGCTCAGGACAGAGCCCCAGCCTAGGGTCCTGAAGCCCAAGCCCTCTGCACTGGGCCCCAGCCCGTAGACAGCGCTGGGCGAGGAGGTCAGCCTAGCCCTGTGATCCGGGCTACCTGAGGCCCCTGGGTTCTCTGGCTCCCACGGAGCATCCGGCCTCAAGGTGCCCCGTTGGCAGCGGGGCCTCCAGCCCTCGTCCCGGGCTTTGTGTGGACAGGACCACAGGGTCTGTCCCGCAGTCCTGGGACAGCAGCAGTGTGCCTTGTCCACTTCCTGGAGGAGAGGAGAGCCAAGGTCCCATCTGGGGCGTGGCCCCCGGATAGGGGCTGGATGCGTCTCTGACTCTCCACCCCCGGCCGGAGCTGGCAGAGGGGCCGGCGCTGCCGCCTGCCCCAGGCACAGGGATGGCCCTCAGCAGAGTGGGGTGGGCGGGGGACTTGGGCAGCAGTAGCTCAGTGGCTGGAAGCCCCTGGCCAAAGGGGCAGTTGCAGTGGGCAGGATGCCCGCCCTCAGCCCCACCCAGGTGTCGTCTTTCTCCCTCCGCCTCTGGACTTTGCTTCCCGGGCCCAGGCGGGGCCGGGAGGGGTGCACCTGCTTCCCTAGGTGGGGCCTCTGTGCCTGGCAACCTGGCAGAGGGCCGAGCTGAGGCCTCCTGCTGAGTGGACGGCCAGGGCTGAGGCTGGAAGGAGGCTGGGCCCACGGGTGAGGCTGGGGCCCTGCCTGGGGCGGGGCGGGGGAGGGTTCTGGTTTGGGGGGCATGTGTCCACTGTAGTCAGCTTCCCGGTGAGCACCCTGGTCCAGCCGGTGTGGGGCTGGCTGGGGCCTCCCCTCCTGCAGACCGGGGCCCACTCTGAGGCCTGAAGTCTGTGCCGATTCCGATGGGGCTTGGGGATCGCAGAGTCCCAGGACCTGAACCTGTGACAGGAGGAAGCTGCCAACAGACAACCCCCGGCCAGAAACCCGCCAGCCCCCACTGGCCCTGGGCACTC